CACGTGCTTGACTTTGGTGAGTATCTTCTGGGATTAGAGACTTTTTTCAGGAATGAAATAGTGAAAAAATTGGTTTGGTATTCTCTCGAAATTTATTTGAATTTTTGTTGGTGTATTTTTTATTACTTGAATAGTGCTAAGTAGTAGCAAGTGATGTATGGATAGAGGGGCAAAATGGCTTTGCATTGTATATTCCATATTGTACAAAGATCATTCTGTTAATTGTCGGTAATTTTTGTCACTGCATAACAGGTTTTTAAAACTAGTTATATACTGTTTTTGTAAAAATCTTGCTGATGAATAGTTCTTATGGTAAAGTAAAGGTAAGGAGGATCTTATACCTAGTTAGAATTACCATTATTATACTTAGAGTGATCATATATACAAAAGATGGCCTAAAATGGCATTTTTGGATGATGTGGGATGCCTGCATTGTAGAGAACCTCCTTTAACCTCCAAGAACATCCTTGAAGACTTGCCAACTCTGCTCTCAACCTTTGGATTCCATTCCCCTCCTCCAAATTGTGAAATTACGTTTCCTTCAAAGAAATAGTTACGGCATTGTAGTGAATTGGCATATTAGAAAATCTGCAGCTGCTTCATGGAGATCATACATTTCTGCTGCATTTTGTAAGCCCATGTATTTGTAAGTCCATATATACTGTTAGGTGTGGGAAAAGAAACATTTTAAAAATCTCTCTAACAAATTACACACAAAAAATTGGTCTGTGGTGACCACTAGAAGTCTGAATTTGTTAGCATATTGCATATTTGGTCATGTTTATATCTGATAAAGCTCCCTTGCTAAGCCTACCCTTTTTATTTTAGGAATTCTGTTACTGATGAGTTCAAATTTGTCAATATTATTTAATTGAATTTCTTATTGTTGCTGTTTGTTTTTCCTCTTTACTGCATTTGTGTTCCTAATTTTGGATACCTAATGAGATGATATCTTGTGAAAAAGAGCCGTTTATTATTTGTATGAACTCCCACACCAATAACCATTGTTCTACTTTCAGAACCAAGCCTGAAAACCTTATGCCTGCTTGAAGTACAGAAGTTGAAGCTGGACACAACTTGGTTGCCTCGGGAATTGCACATGCTCCTCAACTTTATGCAGATGCCCAATAATATCACTCGACCTCTGAATCACACTGGTTGAGCTGCTGGATGAAAATATACCACCAGGCAGAAGTTCTTGCATTTTGTACACAAACTCTCTTTGCCCTTGCTGTAGTATTGATACCATACAAAATTGAAACTAAGCAAAGATGCTGTACTTTTGTTGCGTGACTACACCTCTGTGGCTTTCATATCTGTATGATTTGGTAAACTGTGGATTGGTGAGAGGCCATCCAGCAACCATAGTCGCAACTTCAAGCACCAGTCTAAGCTTTTCATGCAAAAAAAATGCTTGCTCCTTTTCATACTGCACCATTTGTGAATACAGTATTCTCCTGTATTTCAGAAAATCAAGTTATGGTTGAGGCTTGTATCTACATATTGTTTTGAAATATAAATTATATAGCTATTTTGTACCTGTTGAGATGCTAGTTAAAAACTGTAGTTGTTGACAATATAAAGTATATTGGTGATTTGTGAGTTTTCACAAATTCTTAATTAAAAGATAAAAAGGTTTGAAAGGCATAGAGGTACTGTTGTATTTCCATTCAAGAAATGCATACTTTTTCTCTTTGTTTTTCATTATTATCATTCTCATTATTTTTCTCTTGGTACCTTAAAGAACATGATGTGTCATGGTTTATGGAGTGTCACCTATGGATGATGAATGTTTGCAGTGTGAGAAGATCCTACAGATGGCCAGGTCTCACTAAATATATTTATAATAATAAAATATGTAGAAGCAGAAAACGTTTTTCTTTGGTGTTCTTTTATTGTACAATAAAGGTATCTCGAACCAGTGTGATATAGAATAAAAGGAAGTATCAAATTGGAATTGATAATGATGAGTATTCTTTTGTTTCTCTCTGTATTCCAATTAGTGAGTTTGTATCAACAAATGCAACTTATTGTTACTGGAAAAACACAATATTTTCAAGAATATGCATATCTGGAGGCATCTTTTATGGTGTAACATCTATTAAATGCTTGATTTCCAGGTGTTTTTTTCCCATCTTCTCTTCAGTTGTAATTTGATGGTGTTTCATGCCAGATACTTTTTTTCCGTTGCTGGATTTTCGTACTATAAACATGTATTCAAGTATGATGTATTTATATTTTGTCTTTATAAATAAAAGTATAACAGCAACATTTTGTGTACAATTATTGAGTGCATATTAAGAATTTATGTTTTTTAAACATTTTCTAGGAAACAAATTCTTTATGGAAGAACTTTCTGCAAGGAAGGCAATAAGTGTTTTTGACAAATATATGTCGGTTTTCGTAAGTTTGATAGATGGGAGAACAGATGATACTTTAAATGTTGTAACACCATTTCAGCCCTTAAGGCCTGTTGACACAAATGGGCATGATCAATGGGCACACGGGCAGACACGAAAAGAGATGATGTCAGGGATAGACAGGCTACTCTGTTACAAGTAGTTTCCTAATATTCTTGCCTGCAATGTCACGCTTACAGTTGCCTGTTGATGTGTCCCCGCTTGTGTGACTGTCCCTTAGTAAATATAGTCTATGTTGAAGAGGCTCACTCAGGTTTAAGTTATATTTTCCAGATTTCAGAAGTTTCATGAACCACAGAGTTAATGAAGTAGCAAAGTAGAAGCCCACATCCTCAAGTAGAGAATGTCAATACAGCAGATAATTTTAGGCAATCAGCGAGACGCCAAGTTCAGAGGATATACATATACATTGTTATATATTCATATGGCCTATCTTTCCCAAATGTTTAATTATTTTCCAATTGATTCCATAGCTTAGTGAAGTATTGTTAAAAAAAACGGAGACAAAGTTTTATTTGAAGTGTAATGTCAGTACAGTTGTACAACAGAATATTGGAAAAATGTATAAAGATAGGTAGAAGTGGAGGAGATGAGTGAATGGGTTAAGGTAGGAATAAACAAGAGGGGATTAGATAAGGTGAAGAAGATGTCTGCATCTGAGGAAGGGAATCAGTTTTCAAAGCAGAAAGTGTGGGATTCTGTAAAAAATGTCTGCCAGTTGAGAGGGTCAGTGTAGAGAGGAAAGGTGAGGGAAAGCAGAGGTACAGGCTGCAGTAAAGCGTGGACAGGGCAACATTTCATAGGGAACACTGGGTTGGGTTAGAGCATGACATGATGCAGGAATGCGAGAGGCGAGTGTGCCCAATACGCCCCACCGATTCAAACTCTCCTGGCTTCCCGACCCCAGGCTCTCCTTTGACCACGACTCTGAACACTACAACTACTACCCACTCCTCAATGGCAACTAGTGCATTATCCACCCAAGTCGAGACCTACTGTCCCTACTGCTTGAACACCAACATCTCTACCCCCATAACCTTCTTCACCAATCACCTCCTCTTCCCTTATTACTACCTTACAGCCTTATTCTTTGTCTCTCCGTAATACTACACCCTCGACAATACTCCCTCTTCCACACGTCCCGGTCCTTCTACCACCCACAACTCTACCGATATCTTAAATACTCTATTTACCCAGCCAAATGGGACCGATTTTTCTTGATCCCCCCTACAGCTCCTTACTCAGCCAACACTCTTCTCTTTCAACAATGTCTCCAAGAGCAAGTGGGCAGAGTCGTCTTCCGTACCCGACCCAATCGGTCCCCTCTCGTTACAGTTACATTTGAAACAAGCTATAGCATTATCAAATCTAACTGATCTCTCTTGCAACCCTATTCCTGCAAAACTTCATCCACCCATTAATACTTGTACCGGAACTGTATATATCAGTAAGATGTTCTATGGATATCGATTAGTCAGATTGTGGAGAATACTTACTTGGCTGCCTTTCCGTACACATAACCCCTTTCGTATCAACATGGCTGGCTAATCACTGCCTATTCGACCATGCCAACCTCCTCCCCGTCAATGTCAAAACTGTTGGCGCTTTGGACATCCTGTCAAACACTGCCACAGACCGATTCCTCCTACGTGACCAACCCGTCGTAACCGATCAAATTGCCCTGCACAAACAGATGTGCTAACTGCGGCGGCCTCCATATATTTTATTGAGGTTGTCCGACTTACAGGTTTGAGTCTGAGGTAGCCACTCTCAGATACAAAAATAATCTCACTATGCGTGAAACCAGACATGAAGCACGCAGACAAAGGCTATATTAGAGATTTTATATAAACCATTTAGAAAATTATCACAAAATTCATTTTTTGTAATTACCAGAAACATATAACATTTACTTTGCTTTTAACCATTAACCTTTACTCAAGCCAGAGGCAAGTGCGATTTGGTAAGGTGGTGCTTTACGCAGTAAAATATTATGTCTGGCTGGGCACTCGGACACAAGTCAGGTATAGAATGAGCAATGTAAAGAGAGCGGAGAGAGAGGACATATTCGAGGTCGATATAAAATAGACACAGAGAGATAAAAATCGATGAGATAGAGCAAATCGAGAAAACATTCATATATATATATATATATATATATATATATATATATATATATATATATATATATATATATATATATTCTCTCACTTTTCTGTGTTCTGAAGGGAATGCAGCCCCCTCACACTCACTACTGCTCCCAGGTGATGTTTCAACCCCGACTCTTGGAGAACCATATCGTAGCGTCGAGGTAGTACTCGCATCAGCTCAATGAAGATAAAAGGAAGATGCTGATCAGGTCACCATGGGACACTGAACTGAACTGACCTAACGTAGCAGTTCCGCGTTGCTATTACCTAAAGCCAATAAAAGTTGTTCTTATTCATTTCCAAATGGTTTCTTC